AGGCTTCCACCCCTCCTGATTGGAAGGGCCACACTCCGTGATGCTAGGCAGGCTGCGTAGTCAACAGTAGCATCTTCTCAGAGCTCCTCTGCTCGTGACTTCTCCTACACTGGGACATCCGGTGTGATTCAGCCAGAGTCTAGAAGGAGGGTAGGAAAGATCAGACTCGACGTTCTGTGGAAGGGAAGAAAGAGTCTGAGAGAATCATGGCCACTGGTCCTCCAGCGTCACCGTCTGCGGAGCAGTGTCCTGAGCTTAGCAGCACTGTGGCCTCACCTGAGATGCTGGAGGGTAAAGAGATGCCAGGACCATCAGGTAAGGGGACCAGGGTAAGAAGGTGGTGGTAAGGAGAATGGGTACAGAGGTGAGGAAGGAGGGACACAGGATGAGGGATTGGAGAAGGGGAGGACAGGAGGTGGGACATGGACATCACGTGCTTTGGAACCTGTAGAGCAAGGGGGAGGAGGAATGGTAAGAGATTTATTTTGGTGCCCAAGGGAGAAATGGGCATATAATAAGGAGAATCAGGTTTCAAATGGGAGCAGGTGGGGGCGGGGGAAGAAGTGAGCCTGTTTCAACCGACCACTAAGAGAATTCAGCCTCCAACACACACATGGGAAACAAGGAAGAGACACGGAGGATGGTTTTGGTGATGGAGTGAGTTTAGGTCAGTGGTAGGAAAAACACTGACTGAGGTTCCTCAGAACCAGTAGACATATCAGTCCATCAGTTACACATGTGTACTTTCAAACTTGTTACCAGTTAGAAGGCTGATGACATCACAGGCTTCTGCTCCTCCTGATTGGAGGGGACTCGCTCTGTGCTGGTAGCCAGGTGGTAGACTAGCATCTAATCAGAGCTGTCCGATCTTGAATTCTTCTTTGAATGGGGAGGGGTCATTTAGTCAGAGTGGGATTTAGGCAGCGTTCAGAAGGAGGCTGGCGGGGATCAGAGTCTAGGATTTCTGGAAGGGAAGAAAGGATCTGGGAGAACCTGGGCACTTGTCAACTGCCATTGGTGTGTTAGGAAGAGTCCTCAGCCAGGCATCAGCAGGCTTTCACTTGAAGGGGTGGTGGATGCAGAGGTACCACGACTGTCAGGTGAGGGGACCTGGATGGAAAGTGACAGAGGTGTGGAACGAGGGACCTAGGATGAGGGATTGGAGGAGGGAAGGACAGGAAGTCAGACATGAATATCTTATAAATTGCAAACATACAGAGCAAGGAATGGACTAAGCAATGAGAGCCAAAGACAGGACAGGAAAGGGGGCACTACATATATATTATATATTGGCCGATGGAGATAAAGTGTCTATAATGAGGAAAAATTTTAGAAACAGTGGAGGGGACAGGAATAAGGTGGGGTCCTGGCTGTCAGCACATGGGGGAAATGGCACACTGATTGGAAAGAGGCAAGAGCAGATGAAGAGGTTTGGGGTTGCTTTGGGGTGTCCTGGGGCTGGACCTACCTCATCAAAGGACAGAGCTTCACACTAGGCTGGGGTTTCTTCACTCAGAACCCAGGGTGGAGACCAGCCCCCGACCTCCGTTCACAAGCGTGAAGAGGAATAGGGACTCTGAGGACGACCTGGAGGAGCTGCTGATCCCTGAGCCCCAGCCGGTGTGGGTGGTGGAGACGCTGTGCGAGCTCAAGATGAAGCTGAAGAGGCAGCGCGTCTTCACAGTGCTCCCCGAGCACCATGACGTCTTCACCAGGCTGCTGGGTAGGAGGCACCTGCTCAGGACTCTCCTGTCCAATTCCTCAGGAAAAGGGAGAACTTTCAGTCAGTCCACTCGTCCTTGGAAAAGTTGCCCTGGTAACCCTGAGTGCTCAGGACTGGGGGAAACATAGGTGACGTGCCTTAGGCTAGACTTGACTAAGGTCTGCATGGGGATAAGAAAACTGGGTGTCCACCATCCCCTCTGTAAGGTACTTCTTCTGACTTTGCTGAATTGGGGTGTCTTCCCTCACACATGGGCCACAGGGCCATGTTTACATCCGAATGTGACGGCAAAAGGAAGCGTCCTCAGAGTATCTTCTGACCTGTAAAGTGGGGCGATAACGGCAATGAGGAGACATCAGTTTGTCAAAGCATCTTGGTCTAGGGATGGGGATGTAGCTCAGTGTGGAATGCTTGCTAGCATGTGAAAGACCCTGGGTGGATCCCGGAAGCATGTACACACGAAAAGCATCTTGTATGCCATTGATGCTCTAAATCTACGTCGGTGCCTCCTCCTGGCAGTGACCTCCAGCACGGTCACTGTCCCTTGCCCAGGGCACCCTCTTCTGTATCTGCTACTGGGACAAAACTAGGGCACTGGGTTGAGCCTTCCCCAGGGAGGCGGGCTCTCATGGCTTTCACTCCCAAGCTATTCCTGTTCCAACTCTTAACACGTGTGCTCTGTTCACAGAGAATCCGATGGTGAAAAGATTTCTGGACTGGGACAAGACCCTGAAGGCGTCTGACAAGGTGAGGTGTTCTGGGCGGGGCTGAGCTCTGCTCCACACTCAAGCTAGGACGGGGACACTAAACCTACAGTCCTCTGTCCTTCCGTGGCTCCACCTGACGCCACAGTCCTTGTTCTTGGCTTCCTGCCAGTGCCTCTTTAGAGTTTAGCAGTGCCTTCCTGGGGAGATGGGGGCTCTGCTTCACTGGTGTCCTTTGAGGTCTAAAGTCAAGGTCATTGACTTACCCTGAGCATTGTCTCTGCTGCCTGACCTGTCTGGTCCCTCTTATCTCCCTGCAGCTATCTGGGTCCCTTTGCTCCACTATGCAAATACCTCCTTGTGTTTACTATCCTAAACCCTCCCTTGGAATTAACCTAGAGCTGGCCATGCTAGGGCAACAAGGGCTACCTGGCTCTAACTTGGTTTACCTCAGGTGCCCTTCTACCGTCCCCCATACCAAGAGGCCACCTGAAACTGCAGGCTCCACTCTGACCGCATTCCCATCCCAGCCTCCTCTTCCTCTGTCCCCATCCTTCCTCTCCAGGGTGTGACTTCTCTTTTCTCTTTCCATTTCTCCATCAGTACCTCCTGTCTATGGTCATAGCTTATTTCAGCCGTGCTGGCCTCTTCTGTTGGCAATACAAGCCAATCCATTTCTTCCTGGCTCTGTGAGTATTTTGCCAAATTTGTTGGTCACTGTCCCCTACCCTGGGCGCAGGGTTCATGGGGAGTGTGTCTCTGCCCTTCCTTATAGCATCATGTTCTTATTTTTTTAATTTTTACAATTTATTTCATTTTAATTTTTTGTGTGTGAGTATTTCGCTTGTATGTATGTAAGTGCACCGGTACCGGGAAACACACATAGAGGCCAGAAAATGCCATCAGACTTCCTGAACCTGGAGTTACAGACTGTCGTTAGCTGCTATGTGGGTGCTGGGAAAAACCTGAGTTCTCTTCAAGAGAAGGCAGTGCTCTTAAGTGAGCCATCGCTCTTGTCTCTTCAGGGTTTTTAATGAACAAAACGCACGTAATCCAAATCAGGACGTAGTGGCACATACATTTAATCTCAGCACCTTGGAGGGAGGTAAATCTCTATGAGATTGAAGTCAGCCTGGTTTACATAGCGTGTTTCAGGCTAGCCAGGGCTACAACTGAGTTTTCTCAAGAAAAGCAATCAATCAACCAAACAAAACACCCAAGAAACAGCAGCAAAAATACCAGGCAGAAATTCAACAAGGGCTGGACATTGGCTCAGTCAGTAAAGCGCATGAGGATCTGAGATTACATCCCAAGCACCGGTGTGACAGTGGTGGGCCAGGTACTCGGAACTCCATTGCCGGGGACGCAAACTAATGAAAATTCCTTGGGTTTGCTCACCAGCTCGTGTAGCCTAATTGGAGCGCCTGAGGTCCCAGTGAGAGATCTTGTCTCATAAAATCGGGTGGGCAGCTCCTGAATAAAGACACTCAAGGGTGACCCCTGGCCTCCACAATTATATGCTCATACATGTACACACACACACACACACACACACACACACACACACATACACACACACACACAAACTGAATAAAACAAGAGGAAACGTAGAGCCCTCTAGAGAATAGGAAGATCAAGAGATACAAAACCTGGTCCCCATGTGCCAAGGAGAAATCATGTCCCTTTTCTTGGGTCTCTCCTGTGATGAACATACCATACAACATCCTGTTTGCTTCTCTGGATCCCATGACAGGTGTCCATCTCAGGCTTCCTGACCTGGCACTGATGGTGTAAAAAGCTTCCCACTGGTTTTTCTTAGTAGTTTGTCCCCAATCCAGTGAGCTCTGCGTGCATGGAATGGGATTCTGTCCCTCCTGAGGAACGGCCAGGAAACAAAAACTGTTCTTTATGAAAAGAACTAGCAGTCCTTTGGGATCTGAGCCAAGGTCACCATCTTACCCTGGGAATTGCTTCTTTGATCCTTGACCCTGAACTTCTGCAGCTCTGTGTGACCCTTAAGACAGTGCTTACACATTTCCAAGTTCTGGTAGAATCTCAAGTTGTAGCCTGCCCCCACTTGGCACCTCCTGCATCCTGATAAGCACGTTCCAATTGTTCCAATTGTTCCAATTGTTCCAATTGTTCCAATGAGGCACAAGAGTTCTTCACGTCAGTGGTCCTGATGTCTTATCAAGCACGGCTGATGCTCAGCCCACCATGTGGCCAGCACAAACAAAATCTTCACCAAAATAACACAAAATGGACCCTGCCCCTGTTAACAGCAAAGTTTTTTGTTTCCTTCTGACACATGAATGGGGCCTCCAGTGCCCACATTACTCTCCACATTCTCATCTTCCAAGGCCACAGAAACAGAGCATAAAGCTCTGAGCTCTCAACAGCTTTTCCCGCCCCAAATTCCAAACCCTCCACAGTCTTCCAACAAAATAATCCAAAGGCATAAAAAGCTCATGATTGTGTCTAGCTCAGCCCCGCCCCACTTCGGGTACCAATTTATGTTTTATTTTCATTTCTGTTCTGCTAAAACACCATGAACATGGGGAGGGGAAGAGTTCATTTGACTTACAATTCTTGTCACAGTCCATCATTTGGGGGAAGTAAAGGCAGGAATTCAAGCAGCTAATTACATCACATCCACGGTCAAGAGCAGAGAGGATAAATGCATGCTTTCTTGCTTGCTTCTGTCAGGCTATCTTCATTCATTCATTCTTTCTTTTTGGTTTATGTGCATGAGTATTTTTCCCACATGTATGCAAGTGTCACCATGCGTGGAATGTGGGTAGAGGCCAGAAGAAGTTGTTGGCTCTCCCAGAACTGAAGTTACAGACGGTTGTTAGCTGCTATGTGGGTGCTGGGAACTGAACCCAAGTGCTTTTTTACTGGTGAGCCATCTCTCCATCCTCCTTCTTTCATCTTCATATAGTTTGTCACCGGCTGCCTGGGGAATGGTGCCACCTGCACTGGGCTTGTCAATGAACAATCAAGAAAACCAGGCCTGGCAAAGTGGTTCAGTGGTTAAGAGTGCTTATTGTTTTTGCAGAAGACGGGCACTGTTTTGCCAACACCCACCTGCTGACTCTCATCTACTGTAACTATAGTTCCAGGGGATCTGATGCTCTCTTCTGGCCTCTGTAGGATCCTGCATGCACATGGCATCCATACATACACTCATGCACACATGGACATAAAATAAATAATTGAGTAAATAAATTTTTAAAAAAATCAAGAAAATCCCACACAGATATACCGAAAGGTTGATCTGATCTAGGTTAATTTCTCAACTGAAACTCTTCCAGGGTAATTTTATATTTGGGCTAGTTGATGCTTAAAACTAACTAGCACACACACCAAGTCTGGAGTGCCCAGTGTGACCTCATCCATGCCTCTAGTTAGTCTCCCACCAAACTTGTCCATCACCCTGATATTCTTCCATCCTTCTCTGTTACTTCCAAATGCTCTACCCCTGTATTACATTGTGTCTTCTGTCGAGGTGTCTTGTAGGTGTGTACTGGAGACAATCACCTCTCCTTAAAGACAGCTGATACCCTGAAATCTAACAGGACCAGATGGAGGCTCTTTAGTGTTGCGGATGCTCTATATTCAGCAAGCTGAGACAAGAGGATCCCTTTGAGTCCAAGAGTTTAAGGGCATGTGGGAAACATAGCAGGACACCTGAAATCACACCAAAAATGGCAAAACTCGTCAGTGCCTTTCTTGATATCCTAGCTTTTTGCTTCCAGCAGTGCTTTGGTGAAGTCATATTATAATAGGATATTTGGAATGATAGTCTCTGGTCTCCCTCCATCTCCCCATTTCCATGAGCCTGGATACCTGTTTTAAGACAGATTCTTATCAAATACCCATTCATTCTTCACACACTCTGCTGGAGTTTGTTTATTTCCCTAGTGTTAGGAAACACATCCTACCATTGGTGTAGAATTTGTTTTAGATAAGCTTTCACTCATTCCATCCACTCGCTCATTCATTAATTAAGCAAAATTCTCGGGAGTGGAGCTGATAAGATGGCTCATCGGTTCGGAGCATGGATGAAAATTCAGTTCCCAGTAATCGTGTCCAGCAACTCACAACTTCCTGTAACTCCAGCTCCAGGGGATTTGACATCCTCTTCGGGCCTCTGTGGGCACCTGCACATGTTTGCATAAGCACACACAAACATAAATAAAATTAAACATAGCTCTTTCAAAAATGAACCGTATGATGTACATTTTGTGTACCAGGGACCATGAAGTGATGGGAGGAAAGGAGGTTGGATGTCACACCCCTGTCACCATTGGCAGGAGAGGAGGAATAGAGGGAACTAGCATCAGGCCCAACCCTGGGGGATTTCCCTGATGTGGAAGACAGGTGTGCACACTGGCACAAGTTCAGGAAGTGGGAAAGAAGAGAAACAGAAACACAGTGAGGTCAGCTCATGGTGAGAGCTGTGAGGACATACCTGGGCTCTTCAGATGAGCTTGACATCATCAGCTCCATGCAACAGGTGCCTTCGGATGGCCCCTGTCCTCGGTGGGCTCTTAAGAAGGGCTGGTCCTCCATCACTCTGGGCAGCGCTGATGCAACCCCATGCTGGGATGGCCACCTAGTTTCCCTTCGGGATCTTCCCTTGTTGAACCATTCATGATGCCCTGATTCTTCCTCAGATACCTGGCCAATGACATGGAGGAAGACAACCAGGCCCCAAAACAAGACATTTTCTATTTCCTCTATGGGAAGAGCTTTGCCCAGCGCCCCATGTTCCACAAACTGCGGTTCCAATTCATTCGGTCCATGGGCTGGAGGGCTTGGGTGTCCCCAGAGGAGTGTGAAGAGGTAGGTGCATTGGGGACACATAGGGTCAGAGGGATGGGCTGGGTTGGACAGAGATGGGAACAGAGGTGGAGGGTGGATTTGGAGAATGGAAGACTGAGAGGTTGGATGAGGAGGGTGCAGGTTCTTCCCGGGCAGCCAGCATCTGCTCAGGGCACTACTCTCTCTCCAGATCCAGGCTTACAACCCAGAGCTCTGGGTGTGGGCACGAGATCGCAGCAAACTCACCTTGAACTCTGGGACCACAGAGGCCTGAGGTCATCAGCCTGAAGAAGGTAGGTCAGTGTTCTCTGAGGTGTGGTCACATGTCTGTAGTCTAGTTAGGAGAGCCGTGCATGGGGACCTCCACTTGACTTAACTGTTCCTACACTGTGAGACCGCCCAGCCATGCACACAGCTGGACCCTCCCAGCACTGCATATTTTAGCTGTCCTGGAACTCACTATGTAGGCCAGGCTGTCCTTAGACTCACAGAAATTCATCTGCCTCTGCCTCCAGAATGCCTGAATTAAAAGCATGCCCTTCCTCGCCAACAATTTATGTTTAATGATGTACACATCTGTAGGTATGCACATGTATACAGTTCACAAGGAGGCCAGAAGAGAGTGTCAGATCCTCTGGAGCTGGAGTTACAGGCAGATGTGGGGGTTATTGTTGTTGTTGTTTTGTTTGTTGTTTATGTTTTTTGTTTTTGTTCTTTTGGACACAGGGTCTCCTTTTAGCCCCCAGTTGGCCTGGAACTCGCTGTGTAGACCAGGCTGACCTTGAACTCAGAGATCTGCTTGCCTCTGCCTCTTGAGTGCTGGGATTAAAGGCATGCACCACCAGTCCCACTAAGTTACAGGCAGTTGTGAGCTGCATTATATGGGTGTTGGGAACCAAACTTGCAAGAGTAGCGAGAGCTCTTAACCACTGAGTCATGTCTTCCAGTCCCAGAAGTTCAGATTTTAAGCAACTGGAGAGGACCAGAGTGTGATTTAGTCCAAAGCCATATTCTCAAACTGGGCCGCAGGTCTTAGCTTAAGCAGCCGGGAGTCAAGGACACCCAAGTTGGAGAATTGCCATTGAATATGATGCTTCGGGATTCAAGGACAAGAATCAAGGGTTAGGTGGCTGAAGAGATGGCGAACTGGTTTGGAGTGCTTGATGCTATTTCAGAGGACAGAAGTTGGTTCTAAATACTATCATTGGGTGCTTCACAGCTGCGTGTAACTCCAGTTCCAGGGCATCTGACATCCTCTCCTGATCTCCGTGTACATACATGCATGTGTATATATACAACAGCATACACATAATTAAAATAAATCTTTGAAAATGAAAAGAATCAAGGGTTAAGAGCCTGGGTAGCTCTGTGGTAGAGCACTTGCCTAGCATTCATGAGCCTCAGGGTCTGAGTCCCAGCAACAGAGAAGCAATAAATAACAGAGAGAGAGAGAGAGACAGAGACAGAGACAGAGACAGAGACAGAGACAGATTTGAATTTGTAAATTCTTCTAAACTCTTGTTAAAAGATTTATTTCTAATTGTGTTTATGTGTGTGTCTGTATGTGAATATGTGTACATGAGTGCAGGTGCCTGAGGGGCTAGAAGAGGGTGTTGGATCTCCTGGAACTGGAGTTACACATGGCTGCACACACCTTACAGGGGTGCTGGGACCTCAGCTGCGGTCCTCTGCAAAAGCAGTACGTGCTCTTAGCGCTGAGCCATCTCTCCAGTCCCTGTTCTAAACTCTTGTTAAGGTTCACTTAGGCATTAAGTACTCTTCATGTTTGGAGAACTGCACATGTGAAGTCTCACATGGTCTGACTCTTCCTTCCAGATCCCTGCACCGAGGGAGACCCACACTTTGAACAGGAAATCTTTGCCAACTGTTAGGCTACCAGGAGGAAAGGAGAGCAGCACCTTGCTTCGGAAATCTAGAAGAGCCCAGATCCTTCTAGAAGAAGCTGAATAGTTATCACATTGCACTCTTGGAGAGCTGAGGGTGCATGTAGGAGTCTGTAGAGAGGGGATGAGAAAGCAGGGCTCCCCCTGGGTCCATTATTTTTAGAGGTACCACCAGAGTTTTAGATAAAATTTCCTCAATTCCCATCTCCCTCAAGGTGCAGTTGAAGGTGCTGTGGTTTTATATATTTGATGGCCACAGTCTTGGACCTTTTGAAGGTGGCATGTAGGAATCAGATATGGAAGGGACTACCTTCGAAATAGAAATTTTGAGCCATATAATTATAATAATTTTAATATATATCACAAAGTTGATTGTGTTGTTAATATATATCAAATTTTATTGTAATTTTTATTGTATAATATGTTGGCTACAGAATTATTATTATATTTATATAGTCACAAGATAGTTATATTTTTAAAACATGTTTTTCCTGTATCTCATGATAGTTCTTATAATTTTATATACATTAATATTCTGTCCTAAAAGAGAATTTACACTTTTATCTATTATATTTATGTGTCTGTTAGTCTTACATGTAGGTGGCAGGACCTTTATTCTCATGTAAGTAAGGTGTTATTTGTTAGTCTCCCTTACTGAATGTAAACATTGGACCACAATGCTTTAGCTTTCTTGGACATGTCTGTATATTGCTTCAGAGAGGACTGTGTTTGAAAGAACAAACGTGTCACATGTTTTTTAAAAGGGTAATACGGCGCTTCCCTGGGGGGCAGATAATAAAGACAAATGCCTTTTCTTGTTCTCCATGTATATGCGAATATGACTGCTTGCTATTTCTTTTCATGTGTACATGTGGTGCACATGCACGTGTGTCTCGGTGTTTAATTGTGTGGGGGTGTCCAAGTTTGGTTTAAAAAAGATTTTATTTATATTTATTTTACACATACGAGTGTTTTGCCTGCATGTATGTTAAGTGCACTACGCACGTACAATGCCCACAGAGGCAAGAAGAGGGCGTTGGACCTGCTGGAAGCAGAGTCATGGTCAGCTGTGAGCCGCACACCAAGAACCCTGGTCCTCTGCAAGAGCACCCAGTGTTTTAAAAATTATTAATTTACCTTTATTATACATATCTCAATATTTTGCTTGCCTGGGGCACCAGAAGGGAGGGTGGGCTGAAGCAAAAGGCAACAGATTTGCTGACACGACAGCCAGAGGAGTTACTATAGAGCTAGTGGGGCCCCTTCAAACATTAGGCCACCCATCCTCACCCTTCTGCCTGAACCGGACCTGCTGGCAAAACCTGTATACAACAATGAAGAGGAAGAGTGGGTCCAACACCCGGGGGTCACTAAGACAAAGGACTGGTGGATTCTCCAGGATGGTGACCCATCTTCCCCACAGCCCTGGGGTCATCTCTTCTCTGTCAGCTTCACCAAAGCACACATCTGGAATCAACCAAGTTAAAGGAATTGATCAGAGACAGGCATTTCCTAACCCATCTGGATGAGAAAGTTGAGCAAATTACCTGCTGCTGTGCCACCAGTGCCCGGGTAAACTGAGAAGGGGAAAGTTGGCACCTACGGGCATCCGGAAAGAGGACTTAATCCTGGTGAACACTGGGAAGTGGACGTTACTGAGTGTAGTCCAGTAAGGTTTGGATGCCAGTTTTGTTGATGTTTGCAGACGCATTTTCAGGATGGGTAGAGACTTTTCCTACTAGATCAGAAAGAGCCAAGGTAATCACTAAGCAGTTCCTCATGGAAATTATTCTCTGATTTGGCCTTCCCTCCTCGCTGGGGTCCAACAATGACCCAGCCTTTACAGCTAGAGTTCAACAAGTGGCCAAATTCTAGGAATACATTGGAAGCTGCACTGTGCCTATTGGCCAAAAAGTTCAGGACGGTGGGGCAGACACTGGCGAAGGGTGGACTGAGTTGCTCCTTATGGTCCTTTTCAGGATCAGGTGCTCCCCATACCTGACTGGACAAGCTGACACCATTTGAGATAATGTTCAGCTACCCACCTCCACTGATTCCTGCAAAGGGAAGACCACATTGAACTGTCTAATTGTTCCTTCCTGAAAACCGTACAGGCTTTGCAGCAAGAGGCACCAAATATATTAAAAACCATAGCCTCAGGGAGCAATTGGTTGCCTCAGCCAAAACAGAAGAAATCCCCCGCTGTGCCCCCCTACTCTCAGAGGGGCCCAATTATCAACAATGAAACAAGTCCCCAGCCCCCACCCAGGCCCCAACAAAGGTTACCTATTCCCCTCAGGGAACCAAGCCTACGTGGCTAAAGATAGCTCCACAGATGCATCAGGTCACACCGAGGTAACCCCAACTCCAAATGAACTCCCCAAAACGGAAACACTAACATTAATTCACAGTGGGGTAAACCAAGCCCTCCCCAGTCTAGGAAATGGCTGTTGGTTATGCCTAGACCCTACGCCTCCCTTTTATGTGGGGATAGGTGTCAACTCATCCATCACTCCAGCTACTACCACACCAGAAATTGCAAATTGTGGACTAGAGGAAACTAAACTTACCTTAGGGGACCTCCAAGGAGTGGGTACTTGTCTAACCTCCTCAAAGTCTGGTCTCTCAGCCCCTCTCTATGACCGATTCTGCAGCATCATATCGTACCATTAAAATTAAAAGTTCAAGGGGTGGGCCCATCGGGGACCTGGTTGGCTTGTACTTTTAGCCTGGCTAGATGTGTGACCGCCCAACATCTGGAATTAGAGCCCAGGGAGAGAAGCCTTTGCCTTCTAGTCTATGTCATTCCCCAGTATTTATCCGGGAGAAGAAGGCAGAAAATATATGATAGAAAATATTCATTCCAATCATCGAGCCCTTATTAGAAAAAAGAGAGTCGCAATCTCGGCTGTTCTTACCCAAATCCTTGTGAGGACCAGGATCGCAGGCTCTGCCACTTTGGGGACATCAGCATCAGCTACTGGAGACAAAAATTTAAAAACTTTAAGTGAAGAAGAGGATGAGATATACAACACCTCAAAAATACTATGGGACAGCTTGAAAAACAGGTAGATTCCCTAGCAGAAACGGTTTTGCAAAACCGTTGAGGCCTAGACTTATCTTTCCTAAAGGAAGGAGGTTTATGTGCCGTCCAAAGGAAACATGTTGTTTTAATGCTAACAATTCAGGAATTATACGGGAGACCCTGAACTTGGTCTAGCAGAATCTACATCAAAGGGCTGAGGAACGGGCAAATCTTCTAATTGGTATGAGTCTCTTTTGTCCTGGTCCCCATGGCTTACCACCCTAGCTGCCATAGCGGAACCCCTCCTTTTATTGTTCATTGGTATCACTGCAGCCCCTTGCATAA